TGAGGTGTTGCGTACGTTTTGGTTATGCAGCTGTCATAAAGATGTGTTTTTGTCACTATATGATTTTATGTAAAATACACATTTATGAAATATTTAAAACAAACTCTAAAGCAACTACAGCTTTGGGATAACTGTACAAGAGTCCTTTCTTAAATGCATTACTGTAGAGCAGGGGTAGGCAACTCCAGGCCTCAAGTGCCGGTGTCCTGCAGGTTTTAGATCTCACCCTGTGTCAACACACCTGAATCAAATGATTAGTTCATTCCCAGGCCTCTGGAGAACTTCAAGACATGTTGAGGAGGTCATTTAGCGATTTGAATCAGCTGTGTTGGATCAAGGACACATCTAAAACCTGCAGGACACCGGCACTCGAGGCCTGGAGTTGCCTACCCCTGCTGTAGAAGTACAAAATAGCGTGGCTGAATTTAACAGTGTGTTAAAAATAACTTGTCTCCAGAGATAATTTTACTCAGGTATTATAATTAATTAGCACTTCTATTTTTAAAAGTACCATCATTTAAAAACATTTCAGAGTCAGATAACCTCTTAGTAAGTACTTTTATATTTCTGTTATTTGCTTTGAACAGTATTATTGCAGTGTGCCTGCAGTGCAGTATTTTCTTGTAGTGTGTCGTTCCACTGTATATATTTAAGTTCTTACTTAATCTAAATACATCGTCTGTCACTGCTCTGCTGATCTTATATCAACTAAGTTGATCTAATGAATTGCTGCCACACATGGTCAGGTCTGTCTGGTGTAATTTGCCCCTCAACGTTCTTTCGCCACCTGCTGTCTGTGCGCGGTTAAGAACACAAGAGACGGGAACAGTCTGACCAGTTCATGTTGTTTTAATGCCATGCCGTTCAGATTCAGCCTCTCTCCTCAAATCACTCCATTACATTGGATTAAACCATTAAAAAGAGGGATTGTATCTGTATTTGAGCCTCTGTTGAATTATTATTTTGTAAGACACTTTATAGTCATTACTGAAAAAGGAAACACATTATTTTGGTTCATAGCACATTAATGCCTGGCAAGGAAAAAAAAAATATTAAGACTAAATTGACCCAAAAAAAAAAAAGAAAAAGAAAGAAAGAAATCACAAAACACAGAAGCAAACAATATAAACAATATCTTATATATAAAACAAATGAGTCATAATAAATATTACATAAACACACAAAAAACTAAACACTTAACTTATTTGGTTTGGGCAACATTTTGAGTAAAGTCCGTAATTACTGATCTGAAAAGCCAAACATCAGTGTGAATGTTACGTTTGCTGTTTTTTTTTTCTTCCCCTTAAATCTCCCAGAGAACACCATTCATCTAAAATGAGAGTCACCACCCCAAACTTTTTATTTAGCCTCCTCTTTCTAGCAAGAAACACAATCACGTGTGCACTCCTTTTGTTTTTCCTATAAATCAGTTCCTGTGTGTGCTTGTAAGCCATCCAAGCCTTTATATAGTGCAGAAAATTCCACAAAACAGCTTTAGTCACCCATGTTCTGTCTATTTTTTTAGGAAAATCTTCTCACTAGTTCAACCTATAATCAAATAAAGAAGAATCAAGTCTTTATAAGCTGATATGCGATTGGCTGCTTTGGACTTGCGTTGCCTTTTTGCCTTTTTATTTATTTAATAATTTTTTTTGCTGGGAATCTACCAGCTCTACAAGTCTTCCATCTTTGTGTTTGTAATAGAACGGGAGCAATTTTGGTTCAGTCAGGATTGGACTCATAAGTCAAATGCAGACATTCATTCACAGTCACACACAGATGTCTTTACAGCAAACACATACAAATAAAAACTCATTGTGACTGTAAATGTAAATTCACTCATTAGTGATTCTTCTACTTAACAAAGATAACTGTGCAATTTTTTTTTTTACTTTTCTGAAGCAAACCAGGACTAGTACAAGTATCAAGAGCTCGTCTTAGGCGCCGTTTTCTTATTCAGCCACGTGTAGAGAAGATTTTCAAGATTTAGTGTTCCCTCTTTTCACCTCAGGAGAAGGGAGATGTGCAGGACTCAGCTCCGCCTTTTCTCCGGTGTGGAGTGCAGTAATGAGGTCTTAAGGCCTCCGCCGGGATGCCTCCTGTCTGTAGGGGCTCCTTACGTACTCCACCCAAAGTCCAACTTAAGGTTCCAGCCCCCATTGATGCTACTTCCATTGCAAAGTGCAAGCAGTTAATATCTCTCTGCCCCTCCCTCCTATTTGAGTAATTTGGAAACCAACGCAACAGCAAAATCAAAAACACAAATGGATTGCTATTGTTGTGATGTTAAAAAAAAAAATGGGACAGTCATTGTCCAAAAAGCAACAGGAAGGGAGAGGGCAGGAAGAGAGCGAGTGCATTTGTGTGTTCAGTTCATCCTCATAAAATAGGGATTCTTCCTTGTAATGTCCATATGCCACCAGTCAGCATTTGGAAGAGCTGTTATACCTCCCTGGGGGGGAGAAAGGATAACATTAATACACACATACCTTTCAGGAAAAGTGCCTAAAACAAAATTTAGGAGCACTTCCTTCTTTGAGATCAAAAACACTCCTGTATGTATAATAAATATGCAGCTGAAAACAGAAGGGCAGAAGGAGCCTGGCTCTGTGAGACTATCAGTATCCACCCACAATACATGTGTAACATTAAGCTGAAGTTTCTTCTCTAACTATCAGATTATTTCTTATATAATAAAAGTAATGACTTACGATGCTGTCAGTGTGGAGTTCAGGACAAGAGTGGTGCGTATCCTGTACAGCTGAGCCAGCGTCAGCTTCTTGTGTTGGCTTGGAGATTTTCTCTTTTTGGGCGATGCCTCCCCTGAGTCGCCGGCCGCTGCTGACTTGGCTTTCTTATCTAAGCAGGCAGAAGGAGTCACTTCCCCATCTGAGCTGTTGCTCTGAGAATCGTTATCCTCGCATTGTCCGTCGGGCGCCCCGTGGCCGTGCCCGGCTTCCGCCCTCCTCAGGGTGGCGCTGAGTTTGTCAGAGGGCAAGCTAATGCCCAAGCGATCGTCAGACTGGTCGAGGTCAGTGGAAAATAACTCCTTGTTTTCCACTGACGAGTTGTGGTCCAGCTCGGACATGCTCTTACTGTGCGACAGCTTTGACGTGTCCGTGTCTCCGCACAGCGATTGGTCCTGCGTCTCAGAGCTGAGCGAGTGCGTGTGGGAGATGGGGTGGTTACCGTGAAAGTGTTGCAGGAGGTTGTCTTCGGAGCGGGATAGAACCAGAGTGGACAACCCCAGAAGGCAATGGAGTCGGGGGTGTACATGAGGCCGCCGACGAGGTTTAGAGGACTGGACAACTGACACCTGAGACCCTAATGAAGCATCCTCCTCCTCTTCTTCCTCCTCTTCTTCATCCACTTCTTCTAATTCTGTCTCTTCGTGCTCTGGCTCCTGACTCTCCCTGTCTCCCTCTTCCTCCTCAGTCTCCTCGCCTTCACTTTGGCCAGGCTGTGGCTGCAGTTCTCTTAGGAGGGATTCAGGGGAGAGGGTACCGTAGGCGCTGTCCATGGAAAGAGAGCGGCACTGGGGGTCCAGGTCCTCACTGTCTGGTCCCGTGCCCTGATTGTGCTCAGTGTAGATGGCGGAGTGGACTCTGAGTGGACTTGTCGACTTCTGACCCACAGACCTGTCAGAAAGGGAACCCACAGCGCTATCCAAGTCTTTATTAACGCTCTCCTGGAGGTTCATGTTGGAAGCAGGAGTTTCTGAGTGCTCGCCGGGCTCATCGACATCCATCACTGATAGGGTCTCAGTGGAACCGTCTGATTGACTGAAAGGAGAGTTTTGGTTGAACGTTAGACTTAAAAAGCTCACCAGAAAGCGTGTAAGGAAAACATCAGAGACAATAATGGATCACTTTAAGGAATAGTTTGAGATTTGAGTTCTATTCGTGTTACAAAAGTGCAGCAGATTTTATTCTTTACACTTCAGTACCTTGAGTTTTGCTGATCCTTGTGACTCAGCAAAGGGGAGCTTGTAGTGGAGTTGCTGCTCTCATCTTCCTCCTCCTCCTCTTCTCCATCCCCCATACATCTCTTCTGACTGTCCTGCTGGCGGAGGAACTCCTCAGTGCGAAGCCTTTGGAGCTGGTTCTAAATTGAAAAGCACCATTTACATTAAATATGTAAATGACTGTAAAAATTTGTGCTTCTAAAGTAAAAATTAAAAAATAAAAACACATAAAAATCTCATATCTGGATGCTGTCCGATATTTTTTCTATAATAAAACATTGCTATCCTACCTGGACATTGCAGATTGCATCGATCCAACTTCGCCCCTGGGTGGCGCTGTTGGCTTGGAAAGTGTACGCTGCCACTGCACTCTTGAATTCATTGAGGTAGATGAGGATGAAAGAGCCTGTAGGAGACACAAAACGTGAAAAATTTAGTACTCTGTGGATTGAAAAGTCACCTATATAATTAAATAGTTAAATAGCTTCTCAAAAGGTGAGAATTTCCTTGATTTTCCGCTTTATTAAAACAAAACAATATATATTATTCAGGAGTTAAAGTCAGTATTTGAGCACTCACCTGGGTCTTTGAGTTCCTTACAGATGACGTTGTGAATAAGGAGAGGCTGACGGATAATTTTGACTTTCTCCACTCTTTTCACCGGCTTAGTAATTAGCAGCAGGTCGGTGAACAGGAAACAATAGACCTCCATCTGTGGGGACAGTAAACTCATTTCAGTTATGGTAACTCTTGTGATGTTTTACAGATCTGCAGTTCTTGTGAGATTTTACGTAACCGCGAAGGAAACATGAGAATCCACGTGTAATCGGAATATAAAGATAAGAGCTCATCGTGTGTTTCCGAGCAGTCGTGCGAGTCAGTCTTACCCTACTGTCTTTGCCCTCCTTCATCCTCAGCGCGCCCTCGAGATGCAGCTGTCGAGTCTCTTCCGGAGATACATCTCTCATGGGAGCCATGAGGTCAAAGTGGTTGTACTCCTTGAGGATCTGAGGGGGGGAAGATAAAGGCATGAAGCAGAGTTTGACATGAAGTCTAATTTTAGGGCACTGGGGTATTGTAAAGTGTTTCTTACCTTCTCCACTTCTTCACTGCTCCCCTCTACAGCCTCATAGCAGTCTATACGGGCAGAGATGGTGGCGAGCTTCTGTTGTTCTTGACGCTGTCGCATCTGGGAGTCTACACTGTTGATAAAGCCCTCTACTGTGGCAACCTTTAAGGATAAAACAATGACAAACGTACATTTGCATTCAGATCACAGGCAGGGTGACAAGCAGTCAAAGCATATACTTTAGTGTAAATGAGAAAAACAGCACTTTCTAGGTGTTTTCCACGTTCTTACCATGCTGCTGACAATATCACGGGTCGCTGGTTCATCTGTCTTCTTCAGAAGAATCTTCAGTAGGAGCGGGTATTTGGTCAGTCTCTGGTGAGGCTTTGCCAACATGTCGGCCAGCTTCAGACGGTTACACTGCTTTTTGGTCTCTGCCCACTGAATTGAGTCAGACAAAAGCAGGAAGTCAGGCATCAGGAATGAGGAGAATCTGCAGGAGTGCATCTGGGATTATCGTAATGGTAAGAGAAACCTTACCGTGACGTAGGTCCTGAAGAGCTCATTGTCCCTGAGAAGCGTGCGCATGTACTCCATGCAACCCTCCTCCTCCATGCAATAACGGATGTAGGGCTTGAACATGGTGCCAAACTGAACCCACACACAGAAACAAAGACATGCGTCATATTTACTTCTGTCATCAGGAAAACAAAGACGTACTAGCTGCTAATTCACGTTTCTTATCCTATTTATGCTTAAAAATTGTGAAACAGCAAGGTTTTATGTTTACTGGCATTAAAGGAAATACCTTTAACCCAACTAATCAGGTGAATTGATAAAACACCTAAACCTTTATATGAGTCATAGTTACATAATCAGTCACACTTATATATTGAACATGTAGTTACATGGTAATTACATTATTATTTAAATATAAAACCCTGGATTTTTTGACTTTGGAAAGATGCACTCAATGCTTTAAACTAAGATAAAGTTTCTATACTATTTAAATTAACTAGATGTCTTTCTTTTTTGTTGTCTGGGGGTGCATGCAGGGTTTGGATTCTCTTTTGTTGCATCTGTGGAGTCTGAAACGAACCGTTCTGAAACCACGGTGAAGGTCAGTGGGGTCGAGCAGAGCCCGGGCTTGCCTAGCCTTCTTCAGGGCAGGCAGCATGACCTGGGTCCAAAGGGAGGTGTGGAGGCGGACGATCTCCTGAATATTGCTGAACAACTTGGCGGGCTCCACCTCCGTCAGCAGGCCGCTCTCCTGCAGGTTCAGCAGCCCACACAGGAACAACTGCAAGAAGGGAGACATAAAAAGAGCGTAAGCCCTGAATATTACGACA